CTCGCAGTGTGAAAAATAAGTACGTTATTTTGAGGCACCTCGGGGATATGTGTTTATTCACCTCGGCGCTACGCGCCTCGGTGAATAAATCACATATCCCCTCGTTGCCTCAAAATAACCTATACAAGTTTTCGATTTTAACTTTAAAAATATGAAAGTAAATGTCGGGCAAAATTTGTAGAAATTTTATGTTATTATCCTTTGACAAAATCTTTTTTTCTCGCACGAAGTCTAAAAAAATCTGGGTAGAAAGAGTTATATTTTAGTTTATTAAGTTATACTGGCTATTTTATTTGCATCTTGATCAGATTTTAAAGTCTAGATTGATCTTTTCCATATGTTTGTTCCATCGCATGCTAAAACAACAACGAAATATCTCTCCAAAGCGGGAGAAAATATAGTGGGAAATCGATGTTTAGATAAATTTAACAAATATTTATATAACCTAGCACGAAATATTAAGAAAAGATCAAAGAGATTCAAGAAAAAACACTTTAAAAACCCTAAAATTCACTTTTCGCTATGTAAAAATATAGAAATTGTTTTGTTTTTGCATAATAAGCCTCGTTCTCGTGCAGTATGAAGGCGCGGCCACTAAGTTTCGCAATTGGTCTATGGCTTAAAAAATTCTTAAAAAGTTAGTGCTGCTAAAAATAACCTCAAACCAATTACCTATATCAATTATTTACCAATGAATGCGTGCACGGAGTACCAAGTGAACGTGCGATTTTTCTGTGTTTAAACATCATTCAGTGTTTGTTGTTTCTACCAAAACCTATAGTATGATGCCACTTTGAGGCCAAGCCTGGTTTTCATTTGGTCACGACTAAGTCATGTGACCGATGTTAAACAGTTTCATCTAAGATGTATGCAAAACAGCTTCATCCATGGTGGAGACATATTGACACACATTTTCAGGTCTAGTTTAAAGGCTTAACAGGAAGACATGCATTTATTCTTTGTCACAGCCGCCACGACCAAATGTCTACCCCGCCAGTGAAGTAACTTAGCGCTTGCCCGAGGCAAGTAGAAGTTGCTTTTTGGTTGCTCGATCGGGCAAGTTGTTTTAATATTTTGCCAGAAATTAATTGCTACACAAAACTGTTTGCTTGTTTATGCATTCTGTTTTTGATTCTTCATTAGTAAATCAGCTGAAATCAACACTTCATGATTAAGCCTTTAAATGACTTTGTTAAGGAAAACATAAGATTAGAATGTTGATTAATCAATGCAATCATTTGCTTCAAATTTTGCTAATATGTGAGGGAAAAACCAGACTTGATGGAAAGTGAATAGTTATGGTGCATGTACAGTATATTATTGCTCGTTTCAAGATAAATCGTGCATGCACTAATATTATAATTCGTGTGTAGATCACTATCACTGTAGCAATCGTAAATGCATTGTTGGACACTTATACATACATACATACATACATACATACATACATACATACATACATACATACATACATAAAAATTTATTTAAACACGTTAGCCCTAACATCTTTCGATGATTTCCATAGGGGACGTGTGGAACGTGTTATCGTGTGGACGTGTTATCGTGAGGAAGGGTAAATCACGCGTCCGCAGTCTCTTCAAAACTCCCCACGTTCACATAATCAACTTCACCAAAACTCTCCATATTTATGAAAATCTAAAATTTAAGTAGAAATGCAAGTTTTTTGTCATTTCCACGGTGTCATTTTATAAGCGCAATACACTGGCATAACACAGAGATCAAGTGTATTTCAGTCTGTACTTTTAAACTGTTTCCAAAGATATTGCTTCAATCTTAAAATATTGTTAACAAATCATACGGTTTGTATCTGTGCGTATGAAATATGTGGTAGTAAATAGCTATGCAGGGCCAGGGAAAGGTCAGTAAGAGCATATATACGAGACAGACGTTTAGAGAAAGTTGCCAAAATATGGCCGCTTCACGATTTCATTGTATACTGTCACTCTATCACGATTCAGTGATGTTCCGGTCTTTTCTGGAAAATGCAATTGTACTTCATGCCATCCAGTCACGTTTCAGTGATGTTTATTTGTATTTTCATTGTTTTGAAAGTCCCACTGTCCTCCATGCCATCCATTTAACTCATTCATTTCAATTATTTAAAAATTTATGCAAAATGACTATATTTAGTATTCTCGTTCAAGTCAGTATCAGTTTATTTTCTCAAATATACGCAGTTATTTCATACCTGTTGAAGTGAGATTAATCGTAAGAAAGTTGCAGTCAGTTCAGCAAAGGTCGGACGTTTATCTGGATTTTGTTGCCAACACTCCCACATCACAGTATAACTACAGAAAACAAACAGATTTTGATGAAATGATTAAATTTTTCTTAACTTATAAAGAAGTGTTTATTTGTCTCTGATTTTGTTCATTTGTTCCTGCCATAATGAATTCTGTTCCAGGTATATGTCTCATTCAAAATCGCAGCGAGAAGACGAAAAAAGTGGGAAAGTCCTCACTTCCTACATTGTATGACACAATTTCCACGAATATGACACAATTTCCATGTTAAATTCGTATCCTTCAATTATTCCCTACTGTAATTCTTACAAAACATTTGTTGGTAGGGATGGAATTACCTGAAAAATACCAGGAGTTGTATTTGAAGCAGTTGCACCCCTACTAACGAAAGTTTTCATACCACTCTAATTCTTACTCTAATTCCTATCCTAGTCCCAATTCTAAGTTAATACCACCTCATTCTCAGGCTCTCTCCTCTACGCTCTTTCCTCCACAAGAGGGAAAGCCTGGGAACGAGTTAATACTATTGACGGATAACATCGTTTCTGTTTTGTTGAAAACAACTTTCAGGACTACAAACAAGAATGAACTTACATTTCATCAGAACAATGATGTGGCTTGGGCATCCTGTATCCTCGTTGTAAACCATCTATAATTTGATCGCGATTCATGTCTGGATAAGGATTACCGCCTGAAACATTGGATGTGTTGTTATTATATATTCTAGTCACTACGTTTGTATTTTATTTTCCTTTTCTTTTGTTAAAAACTTTACCTACAAACAAATACGTTTTTACAAGTAACGTATTACAGACATTGAGACTGACATAAACAATACAGTCACAAGAGGCCGGGCAACCACAACAGCAGAGCCAATTACAGTGTTCTGATTGGCCAATTGCTTATATCCAAATACGGGAATGACGCGACCTGCACGCGATAACGTTACTTGCTAACACGATACTGTTGACTGCTGGTTGAGCCAGCAGTATGTAATTTGAAGCAAGCGGCAGCTTTACACAGACGAATAAAAAACCCAATCACGAACGACGTTTTTTAAATGTTTTTTCGTGCAAAACTCAGACTTTTTTGACGTGTTCATCGGAACTTTAATACGTAAATGTTTCCTAACATTTTCGTGCTATTGTGATAATTTAACTTGTTTTCTTGTTTGAGAAGTAAACTTTTAGTGCCACAAATCATTGTTTGTCGAAGGTGTTTCGGCTCGACGGGGAACACTTGATATTTTCGGATATCATAAAAACCTCATCCAATATAAACTGTTTATTATCTTATTCTTATTGTTATCTTTGTTATCCTAGAAAATAATTTTTCTTCCTGGCAGTAAAATTCAAAATTTCAAATTGAAAATAAAATGTAAGATTTCTGCCTAGGTTTCAGATAATGTGACGTACTACCACACCATCAATACATATGACGAAAAAAGCAAATTGTATGGCATTTTAATATTAAATAAATAAGATGACAAAAATTTCCTGCTGGGTGTAAGCAAATTTCCGGCGAAGAGATTTGATAAAAAATTTCCTGGTGGCGGTGCTGATAAATAGTGGTCATATCTTGAATTAGGATAAAAATAAGCACGTCACTGAACTTACCTAGTGTAACAATTTCCCAGAGGAGAACACCAAATGACCACCTAAAATATTTATTTCTTGACTTAAACACAATGTGGGAGCGAGATTCGATATGAACAAGAATTTACTTGAAAGACAACTTTTTAAACTATTTCCACACTGGTGATGTGAACTTACACAGTCAAAGAACTTACCATTATTTGGAGTACAAAGTCATGCAAAAAATTTAAAATATTATAGTTCAGAAACCAGCACGTTTATTTCCAAATAAATGTGTTCCCAAAACCTTTTCAAACTGCTGCACCACATGTAAAAACACTTACGCGTCACTTTGACTTGTGGTTATTCCATTAAATATCGATTCATATGCCATCCATCTGAGAGGAAGACGTCCCTATCATTAAAAAGAGAGAAAAAAGAAATATCTCTGACCAAATTTAGAAGTCTCCTACTGCTTTACCACTCCGCAATAATTGTTGCAAATGCAATATGTAGCACGTCTTTTAGACGTCCCTATCATTACGTTCTTGCACTCGATCGGAAAAGGTAAGGGTGAGAATGGTTACGTAACTGAACTTAGTGGAACAATGGAGGAAGACCAAAAGGGAAAACCACTTTTAAATGCGTCATGGTGTGACCTAAATTTAAGCTCCCTTCTTTGACTGATGAGTTGAAAAAGGGTCTTAAGGTTGCCTTGCGAACGTCAATAGTTTACTGAAGTATATTGATGAACTTCGACCCCTGACTAATCGCCATATAGACATTTTAGGAATTAACGAATCTAAAATTGACAGCTTTGTTCCAGATAGTATAATAAACATCGACGGTTATCCGATAATCCGTACCGGTGGCGGTGTGGTTATGTTCCTACACGACGCTAGTCCATACTCGCAACAGATTCACTAAACTTCCGGTCAATTAGAAATGCATGCATGGAGACGTCCAGGAGAGGGACGACAAATATTAAGAAGGCAGATATATTGTTAAAAGACACCTGAGGATATTAAACATAAGAGATGAACATATCAGGATAGTGTGTGTAAAGGAAAATCCAGCCAAGGTAGCATGCATGAAGCCAATAGAAGACGACAAATATTTAGAAGGCAGAGATACTGTTAAGAGGTCTAAGGATACTAAACATAATAGATTAGAAATTACGGGAACCACTGAGTATTTTAATAAAATATAAAACAACGGTAACTCCGAAAATAAACATGATAGATTGTACAGGAAGAGCCAGTCCAAGGTAGCATATCAGAATAGAGTGGATCACAGATTAAGAAGAAAATGCAAGAACGTGATAACATGCTGAGATATATTTAGAGAATTAAGTAATGTCCTAATCGATTTGACTTTTATTGCCAAATCAAGAATGCATCATCTTACCCTAAAACACGTCATAATTTCGTGTCAAAACATTGAAGAATGCGACCTGCGAGAGACCACAACATGGTTACCCGCATTTCAGTCGCCCGCAAGGAATCGTATGGGCCTTGGATATTGTGTGAATGAATGGTGGCAATTCATGATTCTTCGGTCAGTTTTTACGGTTTTCTGATTTTTGGAAAACTGAAAAACCGGGTTCGATCAGCTATGGCAATGGCTGTAGGAATGAAAGTACATTCCTCACTGTCATTTTCGCCAGATCCGCGGTTATGGTGTAATATTATAAAGTGAAATTTACTAAGGCATATAACGCTGTACACAAAATCCGATAGAAAAAAGAAATCAAAACTTACTCCACTAGTCTTTCGATAGTAATTTTCACAATAAATATCCCTGGCCAAACCAAAATCTGCAATTTTACATGTCTTGTCATCACCAATCAAAATATTTCTCGCTGCTAAGTCACGGTGAACACACTAAGAAGAGAAATTATTACACTTGTGATGCAGGGGCAAATAAAATCGTGTGCATGCTCACACGAAACTATTAAGGTCTAAACTATTAAGTTGCACTGTGTCCGAATAAACACCGCGGAAAAACGTCTGCGCATGCGTCAACCTTACCTGTAATAGTATTGCGAACTTGATGAGAAGCTGTTCCGAACGTTTCCGAAGGCTCAAAATGGCGGTAAAAGGAGTGACTTCATTGTGCGTCTTTACAGCCAGATTTCGAGCGCAAAAATAAACATGTCATTCTAAAAACTAGGAATAAATACAGCCAGAAGGTTCAAGAAATTGTATTGTACAAGAACATGAACTAAAGGTGATTGTTGACAAATTTATCGTCTGAAACATTTTGTTTATCAACTAAGCAACGACAATTTCCGAATTTTCGTTTGAGATACATTTCTTTAAAAAAAACTGTGTCGCCAAATATAAAAAATTTGCGTGTTCACAATAATTAAACTTTAGGATTTATTCTACAATTTGAGTGGGTTAAGAAGCTTAACTTTTCGAGAGTTTTCTTAACTTTTTAGTTTGAATTTTTGTTTTGAATAATTTTGCAAAAATTTTCGAAGTCGTGTCCGTTAAAATCAACAATTTTTTACATGAATTATATTTCATTCCATACTTTAAATGCCAGGACGCTTTCAATTAATGTCTAGTCTACCCATTTGCTATATTTTCTCGTTTGTTTTACTAATTTTTGACCAATTAATAAGCAAGTTTTTGTTTTAGAAATTGATATTCAAATTACCCGCCATATTTTCATAATTTGGTGCATGCGCAGACGTTTTTCCGCGGTGTTGTCCCAATACACCCTACTTTATTATTTTACTCTGTCTAAAGCCTGACGATTTTACTCGTCAAGGGGCGAACACTGGCACTCAAGGAGTTATTGATACGTTATAGATACAAAGCAGAAACACGTAATTGCAGGGAGCAAAATCTGCCAGAAAGGAAAAACCAATCTTTATTTGCACATATCTCTCCACGGCAATACACAAGAAAAAATCAGCTTAATCTGTTCAAGTTAGCTGTTATTCATTCAAATAACAAACTCACAACACACTAAAAAAATGGACTCGTCTACACACAACAACATAAACTCACCTTGATATTGCTGATAACAACACAATATGTAAACTGCTTGTTTTATAACAAAACATAGCCCAGATAGAATTAAAAATATACACAGAATTGTAACATTTCTGAAAACAATTATCACCTCAAGATTATAGATCTCCATAACGCTGTTCTAGAATAGAAACACTGAACCTTCTCCAAGGCAAGTTTTAGGTCGTCACAAAGACAATTCATCTCCAACCCCGGCGTTGGGACGCCAGCTCAATGCAGGGTAGAATGACTATTTACTAGACAGCAGAATGTGTGGGCATCTCACTCGATACAACTAGAATTGTTGAAGGGTTTTGTAGATGGAAAGTTCGAGTGGATCATCAACTGCTCCTGGTCACGTCTAATGAATGTTTAAAATGGACATTTTCCACCATAAATCCCTTGAACTTACCTTAATCTGTTCAAGATGGCTCATTCCTCTCGCAATCTGGTAACCGAATGTCAACAAATCTTTCGATGTTAAGGTGGCACTGAACGGAGCGAGATTTGCATAAATATCCTTGCCTTTACAACGAGTGTTCAAAAGATAATCTTTCAAATTTCCCCCAGGTACATATTCCACTATGATGAGCACTTGCTCTAAAAATGACAAATAAATTTCTGAATGTTTTCTCCAGTGTTTTCCCTCCCTTGCAAACATTATTCGAAACTGCTTCCTAGAAAGCAAAAATAATTTCCCAGGAAATGTTTCCTGGTTTATCGACCTTTGGGAAAGATGGCTAGTGAACAATAACTGAACTCATTCTAGAAGACGAATGTCCGTTTAATGGCGGTTTTCCACTAAGCGAAAATTTTCGATCGAACCGAAATTTCTATTGTTCAAATTCAAACGATTTCTGTTTAGTTCCATCTGAGTACTTGTAAGACAAAAGAAAAACCGCCTTAAGGCGGGAAACTCGTCGACGTATTTCTGTTTGATATGATTAGAACACAAACCATCGCACGCAAACAATCTCAGCTCAACCAGCTGAAACCCGTCTTGATTTATTCGTTTAAGATTTATTTTCAGTCGTTCAGACACGAAAGTTCGATGGAAAAGTTGAGACGGTCGATCCCGTCGTTAACTGAATTTATAAGTGTCGAAGCTGATCATGGCAACTGCTCATGGCTAATAAACCTGCGTCTCAATAGGTTCAAGACGAGACATTTCTAAAAGTTTGAACAATGCAAACCATTAAAAATTTACATATAGCACGACCTGTTGCTATGGCTAGCTTCGCCACTGAATAATTTGGGTTCATAAGGTTCTCATCAATGTTCCAGAATTCTAACCATATCCACAGTTATAATTTACGAGGTTCAAATTCGTCTCTCTTTCTGCCACGACCAAATACCAAGTATGGCAGAAAATGTTTTCGATATAGTGGGGTTAAAATCTGGAATACAAGCATTCCTGAACAAGTAAGAAACATCGAATCTTTAAATTATTTCAATAGAAATATTTCCTCTGTTAGTCTGACGAATTAGCTATTTGACTACTGTACCACTTGTTTTGTAATATGTACTTTGTATTCGTAGTTCTTAATATTCTTAGTGATTTTGTATTTTATATATTTTTGTGACATAATTTATCTACGCCCCACTTGGAAAGCAGCTCCGGTTGAAGTGGCCAGCGTAGTCAAATAAAGTTTCATCCTATCCTATCCTTATACCTGCACGCGTTTCCCGTCCGTCTCAGACGCATCTTCTAAAATGAATTCGGCTAAAGTTTCCGTAACAATGTTTCCTGGTTTGATCATCTTTGGGAATATGGCTAATCAAGTAATGTGGTCTTCGCGCACGAAGATACATTTCTGGTTAGAACTGCGATTGGGGTCATGATCAAAGTGAAATATATTCATTCACAAAACATGAAAATGAAACGACATGCCATGACACGCGCGTAGAAATATTTATAGAAATACACGGTCTATCTTACAGAAATATCTTGGATCCATATAATCCTAAACTTGTATACTAGTATATGTATATACTATAGTCTGTAGAATACAGACAAAATTAAAGGTAGAATCGATTGGCCGAATAATTATTCACCCTGAAAACTATCCAGTTGATGCAAATGCAAGCATGCATGCAATGACCATGACGTGATCATGCAGTGACCATGCAGTGACAATGCAGTGACCATGCAGTGACCATGAAGTTATCATGCAGTGACCATGACGTGATCATGCAGTGACCATGACGTGATCATGCAGTGACCGTGCAGTGATCATGACGTGATCATGCAGTGACCATGACGTGATCATGAAGTGTCCATGAAGTGATCATGCAGTGACCATGACGTGATCACGCAGTGACCATGAAGTGACCATGAAGTAACCATGCAGTGACCATGCAGTGATCATGCAGTGACCATGCAGTGACCATGAAGTAACCATGCAGTGACCATGTAGAATGTACCAACCTGATCTAGTGCAGCATCCTACCAAGCCAACAATATTTGGATGTGGTGACATTGTTTTCATAAATTCCAATTCGTCAATCAGAGCTTTGCGGTCTTTAGCAGAGGCACCCTCTACACAGAAAGTACATGGCTGTAAACATTTAGATATCTAAAAGTACAACAGTTTTTGACAGCTAGTATTTATAGAAATGCAACGAATAGAAAGACCGCAAAAATTAGGACGGCCAACAACAATACTACAATAGTGAGGTTTCTATGCGCTCTAAACAGCTTGAAAGTAAGCGAGTTCAAGTTTTATACGTGCAACGGTTGAAAGATTTAACAGTAGCATGCACGTAGAGCGCATGTTTCTTAGTTCTTGCAACCTTATGATGTAGTAAACTCATTGTCAATATTGAATAAATATTTTGTTTGAGTAAATCATTTGTGTTTCAAAAAGCTGTTAAAGGATATTTCTCATTCTGAAAACTGCGGAAGTGAAAAATACGTTTCGAGTGAAGGTCATAGCTATTAACTTCCCAACGAAGGGATTTCGCTGCATGGAAACGTCCAAGTTTTCCTTGTATTTTTCAGGTCGTTGAATCTTCACCTGCAGTTTCCTCGTGTTTTTGTCACGCTGGCACTGGCCGTTCCAGTTTATATTTCTCATTTAACAGCCAGTTAAAAATGCATGTTGCGAGTTGTTAAGAAAAAAATGAAACAAGAAACTACAAACATTCGTACCATGTAACATTTTAATGGCCACAGTTCTTGATCCTTTCCTTGCTAAGATTTCTCCTTTCCAAACCAGGCCAAACTGTCCCTCTCCCAGTTTTTTATTAAACTTTACACACTCATGTGGCACTTCCCATTCTCCCTTAGCGCGAGGTTTTAAACTTTGATATTTTGCTTTAAGTCCGAAACGTTTCGCTCCTGCAGACTCGGAATCTGAGCTAGTGCGAGGTTGAAACTCAATGCGAGATTTGAGATGAGGAGGTCCAGCATCAACTGTTGTGTATTGTGACTGACTAGTTGACTCACCAGGCTAAAAACAATAAGAAAATATCACCAAACTTGATGTTGAAATTTACCAGTGAGTTTGATGTTTATGTGGATGACGCTTTTCTATCGGTGGTGCAAATGTTTTATAAAGTTCACTTCAGGCGGACAACATTATTATAATCTAGACGGACGAGAAACAGATGTTGCCGCCACTGACGTTTCCCAAGGAGGCATTGCCGTTTGCAACCGCTAATTCCAATGGCTGAATTGGGTCACCAAAGCTCTGACTTTAATCTGAGAGATTTACTACGCGAAGCCTCGGACCAATCTAGCTGCGTAAATCCGAGGGGATTGACTTATGATTGGCGGGGCGCGTAGCGCTGCCGAACAAGCTGAAGCAGGGCACAGTTACAAACGGTGCTAAATTTTGAGATTTTTAGTTCAAATTCCTTCCTTTTAGTCTTACTTAGTTCAAATTCCTTGCTTTTAGCCTTACTTAGTTCAAAATCTTATATCACATTACTGTCATTTATTCCAATGAGTGTTTTTTTTTTTGGGGGGGGGGGTTGCAAATTTCTCTAGGTGAAGTTGGGAAACGTTTAGGGGTGTATGCACCCCTCTGCATCCCCAAGAAAATCCGTCCATGATGTGTACTGCAATATTAACTATAATTATTATTATTATTATTATTATCCAATCACAATGCTCGACAGTTAACTATAATTAGATGCAAGCACTCGCGGAGAATCACAGCGAGCTTGCGAGTTCTTTTTGCGGTGAGTGGAAAATACCTTTACGCATGCGCGCCTGCCATGACGGGCAAACATAGCGCAAAAGTGCAATAAACGATAAAGCCTCCCAAAAAGTGCTGTAGGACTTTCATAACTAAACAGAAATTTGAAGACAATAGGATCCTGGATTCTGAAGAAAATTTTCCTTACGACTCATGCCAATGTACGTAGCGTCAATTTTGCTTTATTAGAGAGGTTTAGCAAAGATCACGCGACGTCAAAGACGACGAGAAAATGGCGTAAAAATGGCGTGGGCACATCTATAGATGGGCATATCACGACATTTTTACGCCATTTTCACGTCTTCTTTGACGTCGCGTCGTCTTTGTTAAACCTCTCTAATGTTGCACGCGCGTGTAATCAACCTTTCCAAACATTCCGAAGCAATTCATGATGAAAGAAAACACTTTCCCTGGGCTTACTAAGCCTTAATGTAGATAAACTTACCGTGGCTGTATAACGAACTGAACTGTAGACACCTTCATAATTATTATTCACGATTGCTTTCTTCTTTCGACGGAAATAACATACACATAAAATAACCAATATCAGCAACAATATTAAACCAATGACACACAGAATAATGATTAAAGTTAGAGAACTTCCGCTGCCTTTGATGCCCACTAAAAACGCAAAATTACAAAACTTTTACTCACAACATATTTTAGTAAAGTAAATTGAATTTATTTTATTGGAGTGACCTAAAGTTCAAATGCTACATATAAAGAATATATACAGTATAAGTTCAAATATCTGAACAATGTTATCACAACTATAACTGTCATGTAGCTCATAAACTCTTCATTATTACAGTAGTAAGTTCAAGAAGATATTCAATTATTTTTGGGGGATGGGAAATTAATGTTTTTTGCATATATTTTCCTTAGTAACTCTTGAATGACAATATAATAACTTGTATTAACAATATATGCAATCTTGAAATGAAATGAAATGAAATGAAATGAACAGCAGCAAACAAAAGATTTTCTTTTCATCAAAGGAAACTTTCATGTTTGTCGCGAAGATTCACATTTTGATCAACCAATCATGTTTAATCAGCCTGGGATGATTCGATTGACGAAGTTTTTAGAGCCTATTCAGCCTTTAGAGACTATTCAGTCTTCTCTAACACATTTTGAGCGAGTTTCAAAGAGTAGAATGCAAGATATCATCATGGTGTCAAAACACAAAATCTTGCCAATTAGGCCCAATTCCAACATGGCTGCTGAAAAGTTGTATCGATGGCTTTATACCAACTATAACAACCATCATGAACGCATCTCTGGAACAAGGAATTTTTCCAACGAAATGGAAAGAATTTCTTCTAAGGCCTCTTATCGAGAAAATGCCATTAGATCGAGATGAGTTTAATTGATAATTTTAGGCCAAAATTCAAGTTTTGTATTTCTCTCGAAAAAATTGTTGCCTCTCTACCAGGTGATCTTGATACGCGGAAAAGTACTGGCACTAGTTGTCAAATAGAAATCCATTTTATGATTAAAACAACTGAATATCTCCTGTAATATACTTTATTTCGATTCCATATTTTTGTCAGAGCTATAGTTCTCATAACCAAACATAATTACAAAATTTCAACTAGTTTTATAAAGAATAACGAAAGATATAATTGACTGAATACATCAAAACGGATTTCTATTCGGACAACCCTTTCTGAGCGCTGATTGGCTAAAATACGAACACGAGATCACCTGGTACTCGACGCCTACTTAACAACACATAAACTACATGCCAAGATGCAGTCAGCGTACAGAATCCAGCACAGTACAGAGACGTCAGCACTACTTAGAGTTGTGAATGACATAATGAGAGGGAATTGTGATCAACCAGAATGTGTTCTAGTGTTACTCGATCTTTCATCAGCATTCGATACAATTGATCACGACATTTTGCTTGATAGGCTGTGTAATCGTCATGGTCTATCAGGGGTAGTTCTGGATTGGCTAAAGTCTTATCTCTGCGATCGCCCTCAGCGCGTGGTCGTAGATAATAGCGACTTAAGCAAATGGCGTTTTTGACAACACGGACGTCGACCGGAAGTAAAGTTGACGTTTTCATCAATCACAGCCCTTGATCCAGTCTTCTGACGTTACTCATGCCGTTCCTGTTGTCAAAAACGTCACTTGCTTAAGCTCACTAATGTTTCTTCACGACCGTGAAGCTGTGGGGTCCCTCAAGGATCTGTTTTGGGACCACTGCTATTCTCTTTGTACATTGCTCCCTCCGAAGATGTGATCCTGTCCCATGGAATAGATGCCATGATGTATGCTTATGATTCTCAACTCTACATTTTTCTGAATCGTGAAAAGTTAGAACTGAAAAGTTGGAAGCCTGTACTGACGATGTTATGAATTGGATCACTTGAAATATTATGCGAAATCCATCCAAGACGGAAGTAATTCATTTTTATTCCCGTTACATGAAAAATGATTGTCCTCTTCGTCTCATCAAAGTAGAAGGACATGATGTACACCCCGTAAATAAAGTAAAGAACCTGGGAGTTACTCTCGATTCCTGTCTTACTTTCAAAGTGCATATTAATAACATATGTCGTTCAGCTTCACAATTAATATATCGAATTGGCAAAATCAGAAAATATCTTTCACAAAAGGATACCGAAAGTCTTGTTCATGCTTTTATCTCATGACCCAAACTCGGGTATTGCAACGGCGTGTTCTACGGTCTTCCTTCTTGTGAACTACAGAAGCTGCAAAGGTTAGTCATCGAAGAAAGGAAATCTGCACATATATAACACCGGTACTTTTCAATCTTCACTGACTTCCAGTGCAACAACGAGTAACTTTCAAACTTCTTTTGGTGACCTACAAAGCTCTTAATGCCCCTACATACATCACCGTCATATCCCTGCCAGCTACTTTGTGCTCCAGCAGTCTAAATCTGTTAACTGTGCCCAGAGTGCGAACAGAGACATATGGCGAGAACTTATTTTCCTGTGCTGCTCCGAGACTCTGGAACACTCTTCCTGACTTGTTAAGCAGAGTTCAACTATCGATGAGTTTAAGGCAAAGATTTATATTCATTTAAAAACATAAACATTTATATTCTTGTTGTAAAAAGCATTGAGACTTCTGTATAATGCGTTATAAAGAACAATTATGTTATTTCCGCGAACAATGGTATCTTGGCATTATATTTTATAAATACACAGTCAGTCTTACCTGTGTATATAAACGACTTGGTAGCCGTGCCTGCAGAATTTGAAGCTACACATGTGAGATTACCACCACTTTTTTTTATTGTTAAAGACTTTTCCTTATTCATGATATTGTTCTCAACGTCTTTATTATCTTTATACCAGGTTAGGCGAGGTGGAGGGAATCCAGTGGCATTGCAAACCAAGAAATGTTCACCACTCTTATAAATATGCACTTCTGGTTTCACTAAAATGTAACAGGAATATTTATGCAGACATATTTATGTTGTGACATTTATGACGTTAGCAACGACCGCAGGAACAACAACAACAAACCTTCTCAACAAACAACAGCACCAATACCAAATACAACAAAAATAACAACAACAACAACAACAAATACAACAACAACAACAACAAATACAACAACAAATACAACACTACCAAATACAACAACGACAACAACAACAGCGACAACAACAGCAGCAACAGCAACAACAACGCCAGCAACGCCAACAACAACAACAGCGACAACGACGACAACGACAACAGCAACAGTTATAAGTAAAATGTAGTAATAAATGGTAAGAACACTTACCAAGAACCTGAAGTTTTCCTTGAGCATAGTCATAGACTCCTTTTGTTGCATAATTTATTTCACAAGAATACATTCCGCTGTCATCACGGTTTAAAGATTTAATACACAGTTCAGTTGAAAACTTCTTCGATTTTCTTGCTGTCATATTATTTACTTTATATTTTGGATTGCCTGATGAAATGGGACTTCCCATACTTGACCAACTTATTTCATAGGTCGTGTTACTGGCAAACATTTCACAAGTTAGACAAATATCTTTTCCGAACAATGCCTTTCGATTTAGAGAATGGCGAATGACTGACGGATCTAAAATATAAAATCAAAAACTCGTTGAAAATGAAATGTTTTCATAGTGAAATCGTTCCTGAACAGCAGATGGCTGCTGTACAATGTTGACATTTCTAGGAGCAAAAAGTACATCTCTCAATTCTTTGCCTCCAAACCCAAGCATACTACACATAATAAAAATAGTATTTTCTCATTTGATAACTGCAGGTTGACCGACCACTATCTGTTACAAGATAGGGCTAGTGAAACCCAAATATTTGATGGGGACTGTAGATGGAAATTGTCGAGTGGAAATTTATATACATTTATTGGACCTAACCAGGAACAGCTGTGAAAAATGCAACTTTTGGTCCCAGACAGGAATTGAACCTGCGGTCCTGCGATTCCGGTGCAGAGCTCTAACCCACTGAACTACAGAGGCCAGTTGTCGAGCTCTAACCACAAGTTCATGTATATACCAGGGTACTGCCATGTTTATGCCACAAAAATCTTAGTGAAACTCAACTATAATTAATAGCAATTATCTTTGACAATACTAAAAGTAAACAATTACCGTAAAGTTATATTTTTCAATACAAAATTTTGATTCTCATTTATGCGAAGTGATTCAATAATTCCGATGTGAAAACACAAAAGGAATCATGAAGGATCTGTATATCTGATAAAAAATCCTGCGGATTTACTTTTAACTTCATCTTTAACTTTAACGGGGTTTTTTTGAAGTTCATTCTTGTCACCACATATCATTCATATCTTGAAGATTGTTGAAACTGTTTAATTTTGTATCATGCAGATATACAAACTCCTGCACAGTCATGATTTCTTGTGTTTTCTTCGTGAATTATTATAATGAGTTTCACAATACCTTATATAACATGGCTGTGGTTAGTTAATTTACTTGGCATATAGGAATAATAAATGTATGAATTACCTTTATATACTTCAACAACAGTTGATGCTGTAGCTGTTCCCCAATGATCTTTAACCACACATGTGTAATTACCAGAACTTTTAATGTAAGCAAATGGCATGAACATAACATCAGAGTGAATGAGTAAAGATAAGCCACTGGCACTGCCACTTAAAGGTACGCCATTCTTTAGCCAGGAGTATGTGGGTTTATAAAAATTTATTCCTTCGCAAATCACTTTTACTGCTTTCCGTTCCGATATCACCACATGTGGTGGCCTGGCTTTAGCTGAAAAGCATGTGAAACATAAGCTTTGTCTTTTTTAATACTGTTGTAGTCCACTTGCATACTTGTAACTCATAGAAATAATAGATATTTCATTTTTTCTATGTTGTAACCTAAATGGAGCACTGTACTTAAAACATCAGGGAATCACCCACACTGTCTTTCTTTACGTTTTCTATGTTGTAATCTAAATGGAGTACTGTACTTAAAACACCAGGGAATCACCCACACTGACTTTCTTTATGTTTTCTATGTTGCAACCTAAATGGAGCACTGTACTTAAAACATCAGGGAATCACCCACACTGACTTTCTTTACGTTTTCTATGTTGTAATCTAAATGGAGCACTGTACTTAAAACACCAGGGAATCACCCACACTGACTTTCTTTATGTTTTCTATGTTGCAACCTAAATGGAGCACTGTACTTAAAACATCAGGGAATCACCCACACTGACTTTCTTTATGTTTTCTATGTTGTAATCTAAATGGAGCACTGTACTTAAAACACCAGGGAATCACCCACACTGACTTTCTTTATGTTTTCTATGTTGCAACCTAAATGGAGCACTGTACTTAAAACATCAGGGAATCACCCACACTGACTTTCTTTATGTTTTCTATGTTGTAACCTAAATGGAGCACTGTACTTAAAACACCAGGGAATCACCCACACTGACTTTCTTTATGTTTTCTATGTTGCAACCTAAATGGAGCACTGTACTTAAAACATCAGGGAATCACCCACACTGACTTTCTTTATGTTTTCTATGTTGTAACCTAAATGGAGCACTGTACTTAAAACATCAGGGAATCACCCAGACTGACTTTCTTTATGTTTTCTATGTTGCAACCTAAATGGAGCACTGTACTTAAAACACCAGGGAATCACCCACACTGACTTTCTTTATGTTTTCTATGTTGTAACCTAAATGGAGCACTGTACTTAAAACACCAGGGAATCACCCACACTGACTTTCTTTATGTTTTCTATGTTGTAACCTAAATGGAGCACTGTACTTAAAACATCAGGGAATCACCCAGACTGACTTTCCTTATGTTTTCTATGTTGCAACCTAAATGGAGCACTGTACTTAAAACACCAGGGAATCACCCACACTGACTTTCTTTATGTTTTCTATGTTGTAACCTAAATGGAGCACTGTACTTAAAACACCAGGGAATCACCCACACTGACTTTCTTTATGTTTTCTATGTTGTAACCTAAATGGAGCACTGTACTTAAAACATCAGGGAATCACCCAGACTGACTTTCTTTATGTTTTTATATGTTGTAACCTAAATGGAGCACTGTACTTAAAACATCAGGGAATCACCCACACTGACTTTCTTTATGTTTTCTATGTTGTAACCTAAATGGAGCACTGTACTTAAAACACCAGGGAATCACCCACACTGACTTTCTTTATGTTTTCTATGTTGTAACCTAAATGGAGCACTGTACTTAAAACATCAGGGAATCACCCACACTGACTTTCTTTATGTTTTCTATGTTGCAACCTAAATGGAGCACTGTACTTAAAACATCAGGGAATCACCCACACTGACTTTCTTTATGTTTTCTATGTTGCAACCTAAATGGAGCACTGTACTTAAAACATCAGGGAATCACCCACACTGACTTTCTTTATGTTTTCTATGTTGTAACCTAAATGGAGCACTGTACTTAAAACATCAGGGAATCACCCACACTGACTTTCTTTATGTTTTCTATGTTGTAACCTAAATGGAGCACTGTACTTAAAACATCAGGGAATCACCCACACCGACTTTCCTTATGTACAACACACCTGCATGACAACTCTTTTATACGATAGTAAATGCTTTTAATACTTTTAATTAATTCTTAAATGACATATAGTATATATCCTGTATTAGCGTATACTCGCGGAGTGGACATTTCTTTTCACGCAATTTGATTGGTTGTTCAGCTCCGGATATCCTTGCACTATTCACCTCGGGACAAAAACAAAATGGCTTCCCGTTTCGTTCTCGGTTTATACAGACGAGCAAATTTTTGTACTAAACGGGAGCTGAAGTACAAATTGTTTTAAAAATATTGTTTTGTTGTGGTATATATGCTAAAACAATTATTCACCTCAGTGTCGGTGATTCGGTGAATTATTGTTATCTCCGCCAAGACTGGCTCAAGAGGTTATGTTTTCATCGGCGTTTGTTTGTGAATGCGTCTCAGTATCTCTGTGTCTCTGTTGCGTCTGCATGTGTGTGTGTCTCAGTATCTCTGTGCTTCTCTGTGTGCGTGCCTGTATGTATGCGTCTCAGTATCTATGTGCGTCTGTGTGTTTGCCAGCATAAATAAATACCTGTCCAATAATTAGCCCGTGGGCGTATACACGGAGGGGGCTTATATCCACGAGGCTCTTATATTCGGAGGTTTACGGTTTGCTATGCTATGCTATGCTATGCTATGTTATGCCACATTATGCTGTGCTACAAACACCGGATCCCCAGGTTTTGCATACTCAATTCACTAGGTATTCATGGTTTTAGCTCTGGTGAAAAATTAAATCATGCAGCAGACATCTAACCTGATATGTTTTTCAATGTTGACGGTTTCAAGACCTCGACCTACGCTGACAAGCCACCATTGGTGTCGCTTAATAAAAGTATATACCTTATCACTGAGACACTTGATGAATACTCGATAGACTTACCTTTCCTGTTAACAGAACAGATGTTATCCCCAGTAGTATTTTTCACCCAATGACTCCAGGGTCCAGTATATGAAAATAACTTGACGTCATTTTTTTCGTTCGCATTTAAATACAAATCATAATCTTTCAATTTTACCAAAGTATTATTACATTCCCATCTTAGCGAGTTTTGAGAACAACTTTGAAGATGAAGTGCGCTTGACTCGGCCGGTTGATCTGTTGAAATACACTCACGGTGCTGCAAGGTGTTCACGTTCACGAGCTGCGCATCAGCAGTCCACATCCATTTTTGTCGGCAAGATTGCAAATTACAATCTTCCACATGTAATGGTGTTGAAGAAAGTCTGCTCAAACATTTATTTTTATCTTTGTTGTAAATGTGAAAGAATTCTCTGCTATCTAGTAAAAAACCCAGATGCAAATAAAAATAAAAATGATTTGGAATAAAACGATAAAATATTTCTTAAAGTAAAAACTAATGATAGCTTAATGAACTGCAATTACAAGGTTAAAATACAAATGAGGGATTTGTTATATATACTAGTTACGAAGCGGGTAAGGGAAAGTGGGTAAGGGGCAGGGATGAAGATGTCTTGAAAGAAGCTCATATTTTTACAGGGCCCTTGTTGAGGTATTGGTAAATTTTCGACCCCCCCCCCAAGTTTTTAAAATTTTCAATGTCCTCCCCCCGAATTCGGAATCAAAGGAGGTACAATCCGGAATTCCCTCGTAGATACAATTTGCAGTTCCTCAAGATGTCTGATGTACTAAAGCACATGCTTCTTTTCAACAAAAATACCGACTTGCTGCTTCTTTCGTCTCACTATATCGCCAAATGAAATGGCACCGTCTTTAAAAAACCGTTTTAGATTGGCTCTAGGGGCGAAATTATCAACAGGTTGTTGTCCAACATTCAACGCAGTCGGGAGTCTGGAACACGTTCATGTATAGTGGGCGGGATTTCCTGGATCAGGTTAATGTGCTGGAACCTTAGAGAACCTCGCCCCCACCCAACGTAATCTAGCTTCTGGCATCTGTTGCAAATTTCTTTGCATGCCAGTCAAAAATGCATGCAAAAGTGCGAGCATGCTTCAATTTCTTTAATTTTCATCCCATTTGTACTAAATATCCCATGAACATAGAACATATCATTCTTACAAATCGTACTTTTTTTTGTTTTTGGAACTGCTACTTTTTGGCTGGTTAATTACGTCACAAACCTGGCGCCAAAAAATTAAAAATAAGTTATAGGTGATTTCGTGTATCCATTTGGAAGAGCAGACCAAGGATATCTTAAAACTGAAATCGGTTTCGAAATACAACCGTCAGGGACGTAGCGAAGCATCTGAAGCGGGGTGTTGGAGGACATCCTCTCATCACGCGCCTGCAATCCACTCATCATGCACAATCATTTCAGTCGACTAGAATGTGAGACTGCTGGATCTTCTCCATATTTTTTGACAGCAATCCTTCATCAACTATATCCTCGAACTCAGCGAGGGTTTTATTTGTCATTGTGATCACTACTACTGCATGAAAAGTATAAATATATACAATTACGAACCTGGATTTTTTACAGTGAGGTTATAGTTCCTCGGCAGATGCGCATTGCTTTCATTTCTGCATTCATAAATACCATTGTCTGACAATTCCAGACAGAATATGTGCAAGGATGAATCAGTTGGTTTCACTTTGAGTGTTTCGTCTAGTTTTGTTCCATTTTTGTACCACTGGGCGTTTAGAAGGTCACAGTAAATAGTAGATGAATCTCCGACATTGCCGGTCTTTACAATTATCTGGGAGTTTACACCTGACAACATAGAAGATTAGTGTAAGTTGTACAAGTATAAAAAAGTGTATAGTAATCAGTGTCGAACATGAATCAACCCACTTCATGCGGACAGTGAACCTCGCAAGTCAGGACCTCCCACCCAAACACGCTGGTAGAGAGCAGAAGTGCTTGCTCGCGAGGTTGATGACTAATGATGAGCTCCATATAAATATCTGGAGTGAGAACTCGAGTCCAAAAAGTGAATCCAAAGATGGAGTTATTGGACGTCAGTTTCAGTCCCTTTCTGTTGTTTTTGTCTGCGCGGTCTGCAAGGAGTGTGCCGAAATTTCGTGTTTTGACTTCGATTTGTATGGGTAATCATGCGATGGCGAGTACAATTAGGGACTAATAGTACGAGTGATGTTTGGAAATTTTGCCAAAATTGGACGAGCCCAATTTGGCAAGTTTCCAAACATCACGAGTACTATTAATCCCTAATTGTACGAGCAACATCGCATGATTACTTGTTTATTATTAGCATGACAAAATTGGATACGTACTTCTCAATGTCAGCATCATATTCTCTCGCCAAAGCCCAG